AGGTTGTATTAACTTATCTACGAATTATGATCCCCCAGGTAGAATTTCTGATCGGGTCATTGTGTACAGTGGCTGTACAACAAGAAGTCTAAAATTCCAGATGCCCCCTCTATTACTAATATCTCGATGTGTGAGACCCATCAAACTTTGGAATAGAAAGACGACATATTTTTTCTATTTATTCAGAAAACGACATCTATGCAATCTTATTATTTTAAATCATAAATTGCGTCTTTTTTCTCACAATTTTTTTTACAGTGAAACCCTTAATAACGAATACATCGGAAGAATTTATCAAATGTCGTCTTGAAAATTTTTCAATGAGTTTTATACCATATTACGTAAATTTCAGTATTTGGGAAAAAAATAAATAGCCATGAATATGCGGGAACAGTTTTAAAGAGTTCCATATAATCATTTAATTAAAAAACTAAATATCTGCAACATTTTATTATCAGAAAGTAAAGAATACGATATTTGATGAATTCTTTCGATGTATTCGTTATTAATGGTTTTACTGTAGTTTTCACTGTAAAAACATGATTTTTCCCTGTTATTTAGATAGATTTTGACAGTGTATTGGCTGAACCTGGATCAGCGCACGGGTTTGATGGAATATGGAAACTTAGTTTTATTCTGTTTTCTCAAACCAAACTTTGGATCTACAGGCTCATGGCTGCTTTGGTAAATAAATAAATTCAATGAAGACGACTTTCGATTTCAAATTTTGATTTCTAACAAGCTTTGAAACAGCATGGATCCACAGAATCGTGTAAACAAAGTAAAGCTGTTAATTAAGAGCTTCTCTTTGTTTACTTTACTTGCAAAGTTGTTATTTTGAAAAAAGCTTATTAGAATTAAAGCTTAAATACAAAAGTCGTCTTTAATGTATTGATATAAACGTCGACCATTGATCGTTTTTAAGATCGTTTAAAAAGTTTTAAAAAAACATTCAATATTTCAAAACTGTTTTCTAAGGGCAAAAAAGAAACAAATACGCGATTTTTCGACACGTTTTTTGCTTGTTTGATTTTGAAATTTTTAAAACTTTCAGATTTTTATGGAACCTTTTAAAAGTCAAACGTCCTCAACAACAGCGAACCTAAAAAAAAAACCAACTTATTGCATTTCACTATTTGTAAATTAATAATTTCTTTAATTAAAAGTGTTTCAGTAGATATGTCCGACAACTTTAATCAGTCATAGGTTTCATGCCACTGTATAGATCGAGGGTTACTTGAAATAAACTCTAATTAACGATACGCTACATATTACAAAAGTTACGAGTGGGAATTTAATGATTTTGACCCGAGTCTCAAATCCGCCCAAAGTCGGTTTCAATTGAGCGCCGGCTTAAGCCTTAAAACATTGAATACAATTTTAGAAGGAACCAACCACGTCTCAAATTTAAGCCGCGGCTCAAATTCTTAAAATTCGGCCTCCGATCTTTGTTTAGATCTCTGTTCCTCTGGCTTTAGTCTGGGGTGTCGTCTTTGCTCTGGCAACTGTTCTCTACGTTTGGATAATTAGACCTGGCTTTAGAGTTGTCCAGCTAGCTCTGGATATTTTCAAGAAGGTAAACAAGGATATAATTGGATATCAAGCAAATGAATATTCATGATCTTAAATCCAGCCATTTGATATCCAACTATTGGATGTCTGTCTAATATATATATATTCTCTTAAGAAGGTAAACAAGGATATTGTTGGATATCAATCATTTAAATATTCATCAATATTAAATCCAGCCATATGATATAGTCAAAAGTATGGATGTCTAACATTTGGATATCCATTAATTTTATATTAAAACATTAAATTTCCCAAAAGCAAATATCAAGCATAAGGATAATATGCAATTTGATATAAAAAATTTAGACAACATTTAATAAGTTAGTTTTAGTTTTTATATTCTCTTTAGATTTGGAAAGGAGTTATCTCTGCCACCCTGGAACCGGTTTGTGAAGCACTAGGACTAATATTTGCCAGACCCGGCCTGACTCTTGTACAGTCGGCTTAAGGTATTCCCCCGGTCCGCATCCAGGGTGGTAGCGGGTTACATGGATGCAGGGCTTGTCCCAATTGCCGATAGGATCAAGGAGCAAACAGGTCTGTATGCCTGGGACCTAGTGAACAAGCGTCGTGGTAGCCCGACTTTTGTACAGTCAGATTAAGGTTTAATAGGACTAACATTTGCCCGACCCAGCCCAACTCTTGTACAGTTGGTTTAAGGTATGATAGGAAAAATATTTGCCCGACCAGGGCCAACTATTGTACATTTGGCCTTAAGTATATTAGGACTAATATTCACCCGACCCTGCCCAACTTTTGTACAGTCGGCTCAATGTATGATAGAACTAATATTCGCCTGACCCAGCCCGACTCTTGTACGGTCGGCTTAATTGGTATGGTAGGACTAATATTCGCCTGACCCTACCTTACTCTTTTACTGCCGGCTTAAGGTATGATAGCACTAGTATTCGCCCACCATGGCCCAACTCTTGTACAGTCGGCTTAAGGTATGGTAGAACTAATATTCGCTCAACCCAGCCTGACGCGCGCTTGTACAGTCAGCTTAAGGTACAATAGGATTATTATCTGCTTGACCGATAGCCCAACTCTTCTACAATCAACCTAAGGTATAGTAGAAATATTATTTGACCAACCCACCGGAATCTTGTACAGTCGGCCTAAGGTACGATAGGACTGATATTCGCATGACCCGGCCCAACTCTTCTACAGCCGGCTTAAGGTACGGTACAGGGCTTTATTCGCCCACCACAGCCCAAATCTTTCACAATCAGTTTAAGTTAAGATAGGACTATTACTGGCCCAACCCGGCCCAACTCTGGCACTGGTACAATGACTAATATTCTCTTAGCCCGACAAATCTAAATATTGACTTAATTTGTCATCTATAAAAACCGGACTTTAAATTACTTTAAAGATTTTTTATAAGAGTATACTAATTATTGCAAAAATCTTTATAAATCTTTATGATTTTTATAATTTTAATATTTAGAGGAAACGGTGACAAAGAGATTCTAGAGAGTCCAATGAGGTCCAATCTCAACATATTTTAGAAAAATAAGACTGAAAAATAGCAATGTTTTTAAATTATTTCATATTTGATTTACCTTATATTTTACAAATTTATTTGCAAGCGATTTGATGAATATAATGAAGACGACCTTCGATTTTAATTTAAATTTTTATAAAGCTTTAAACAGCATGGATACGCATAAACATGGAAACTAAGAGAAACTGTCAATTTAAAAAGCTTTTCTTCAATTCCAAGTAAATTTGTAATTCGAAAAAAGCTTGAATTAGAATTAAAACTTAAATGCATAAGTTGTCTTCATTATATTGATATAATCGCCTACCACCATATGATGTAACCTGTTTTATCCAAAATTTTATTCTTTGTAATTTATGAATGTTATATTTTAAAGCTATGTGTAATAGAAACTATTTGGATAAATAAAAAAATCACAAAAAATACTGATGTTTAAATATTTTGAAAAGAAACAGCTTAGCACAAACGATCAAGCTTGAGGAAACACCCTGTATATCTAGATTTATTGCATCGTAATGTTGACTATTTTTATGTATGACTTGCTTTTGACCAAAGAGAATAAATTAGTATAGAGAGGAATTAACTCGAAAAAAGTGTGAAACCGCCAATTTTTTTAACAAAATTAAAAAAGAGCAGTGATTTTTTTTTTCTCCAACCATTGTATCTTTTTTTATCTGTTCATACATCTGTTTTCTGTCCTTCTCTTTAAGATCTAAGGGAAGGGGAAGAGAGAGAGAGAAACCACTCCTTCTCTGCACTATTATTTTCTTTTTTTTAAGCTATTCCACGCAGTTTTCTAGTTTGACATAATAATAATTGACACTGTCTTTGGAACTGTACGTTTTTAATATACAATACAAGGAGTATGAAATAGAAGGGATGATACAACTGACACGGCCCGCCCCACCATATGATTATTCATGCTTTGCAGACGGGTACTTCATTTGTATTAGAAATATTCAGAATAGTTTATTGTATACACGGTAATTGTACATCAGACAAATATTTCTTATACAAATGGAGTACCGGCTGCAAAGCATGTATAATCATATGGTAGGGCGGCCCGCGCCAGTTGTATCTCCCTTCTATTATATACTCCTTGATACAATACCGCAATACAAAAACCAGTCGCTAAATTGTACAAGGTACATGCAGAGAGAAGATGATCGAATACAGGGTTACCAACAAAGGACAAAACTTCAGAGATGACTGTACGGAATTCCTATATTCTTGGTTCATTGCAATTGTAAACTTGTTTCTTTCTTTTCCAAATTATTCAATAAAGAATAATATATTATTGAGAATTTTTGAAAACCATCTGATAATTAGGAAAGTCTCTGTTTTTCCAAAAATGTGCTTGCCAGTCGGATCGCTTCACGGTCGCAGGGTGCAATTTAAACTGCCCTTAAAAGGTGTTTAATAGCAAAATAACCTGTTTTTTAAATCAGCTCTTTAATTCTTATAATAGTAATCGTCGGCACAATATTTATATACAGGGTTATCTACAAAGGATGGGACTTCAGGGACCAAAGTAAAAAATTTACTTTATATACTGCCTGTTTCCTTATATTTACTGCCTGTTTCCTTATATGTACTACCTGTTTCCTTATATGTTCTGCCTGTTTCCTTATATGTACTACCTGTTTCCTTATATTTATGTACTGCTTGTTTCCTTATATTTATGTACTGCATGTTTCCTTATATTTATGTACTGGCTGTTTCATTATATTTATGTACTGCCTGTTTCCTTTTTTTGTACTACCTGTTTCCTTATATTTAAGTACTGCCTGTTTCCTTATATTTATGTAGTGCCTGTTTCCTTATATGTACAACCTGTTTCCTTATATTTAAGTACTGCCTGTTTCCTTATATTTATGTACTGGCTGTTAAATTATATTTATGTACTGCCTGTTTTCTTATATTTATGTACTGCCTGTTTCCTTATATTTCTGTACTGCCTGTTTCCTTATATTTAAGTACTACCTGTTTCCTTATCTTTATGTACTGGCTGTTTTCTTATATTTAAGTACTGCCTGTTTCCTTATACTTATGTACTGCCTTTTTCCTTATATTTAAGTACTGCCTGTTTCCTTATATTTATGTACTGCCTGTTTCCTTATATGTACTACCTGTTTCCTTATATTTAAGTACTGCCTGTNTATGTACTGCCTGTTTCCTTATATTTATGTACTGCCTGTTTCCTTATATTTATGTACTGCCTGTTTCATTATATTTATAATTCCCTGCAAGTACAAACTTGTCTGTTTCTTTGCCAAATCATTAAATGAGCCATTAAATTACAAAATCCTAAGGCGGAAGATTTGATTTAACCTTGGTATAATGAATCATCCTTCGAGGGTAATACACTGTTTAAAAATCCATGTTTCTAAACTTAAAAACACTTTCATGTCTGACAGGGAATTTTAATGCATAACATTGAATTATGATAAAATTACCATCCTGCAATCTATAAGTTTATGATATTTTAATTTTAAATGAAATGGAGGGAGCTTATCTAAGAATCCATGTAAACTAAGGTTCTTACATAACCTTCAAACGTAGACTATAGGGTCAAATTGAAAGATGTACGTCAGACTTTTTACTGTACTCCGCCTAGATCATATGCCTCCTTGACCTATGTATGACTTATTATTTTAGAATTTTAGAATTTTACATTTTTACATTTTTACATTTTTACATTTTTACATTTCTACACTTTTAAATTTTTGCAGAAATTATATTTCAAAACCCCGCCAGAGTAGGGCTTGGTAAAGTTCCATTAACAAAAGACTAGTGCTTGAAAATTAAATGAAGAACTGTAAACTTGGAAATCATTAAAAACCAGAAAAAATTGCATATTCATGGACATATTCACGAAACCAATAAATATAACACAATACAAGATACTTTATTGAATGAAAGAATGAGAAATGTAGTCAAATGGTAAACACTATATGCAGCTGCACATCTTGATCACAACGATCAGCTCCACCTCCTCTCAAGCCAGTTCGTACACGACTAGCTACCCCAATGTCCTTCCCTGACCATCTTGTGGAGATCCTTGAACCCTAGTTTCAGGAATCCCAGTAGAAATCCCGGACAGGGATTTCCGAGGAAGCTTTGGCCCCATTTTGGCGGGATTCTTAAATAACCTTATACACTAGGGATAAACAAAACTACAAGAAAAGGGGGTATATATTTCCCTTTCACAGAAATCATCATTATTTGACATCTTTTACACTAAATAATGGCAACTTTTGTTAATTTTGAACATTGATATTAGAACTATTATAACTAGTTTAATAACACATGGCTTGAGAAAAAAATGTCGGAACATGCCAAGCCTTAAGCCCAGTGCACCAGTTGTAGTTATAATGGCATAGAAACGCTATACCACTGCAGTTTACACACCATGCCTCCTTCATAGTATATACGCTGTAACAACAAGTGTTATTATTAAATATTGTTATTAATAAACATCATTCAACCATGTGTGCAAGATGGAAATATATTCGTTATTGTACCTTCAGATATATGTTTATTAACTCAAGAGGAACTTATCCAAAACATGTATTAATACACTTTGAAAAACAAGGACTGCTCTGATTAATTGTAATATTGTTTTATGCAAATGTAAAGAGAAAGTCTCTGATGTCGTATGTAGGTAGTTGCTGTTGTAAATACTACAAAACTAAAACGTTAAATGTAGATGCAGATGGTTATCTGCGCTGTCGTATATGTGATGCTGTATGCAGGAAAACTTAGGGTGGGATCCTTTTATTATACCGCCAAGACCAATGTCAGATATGGAGATTGGAGCTTGGTCCCAGTCCTAACAAAGTTCGCTGGTTGTACCAGCTAGCCCAGCCTACAGAGCTATGCCAACTATATTGACCCCCTTGCTTAATGTCTACCAGTATAGTTGGTGTACAGGCTGGGGCGGTACAAACTAGGCAAGGACTATAGGGGAGTTAAGCTCAAATTCAAAGGTACATGAGTTGAGTGTGATGTACATGGTGGTTTAAGTACAGGTTATTTTTCTATAAACTTGGACTTTTACAGTTTTACTTTTAACCATTTCATATTTTACAATTTTACAATGCTTACTGTTACATTTTACAATTTATTTTAGACTTGACATTTTACTATTTTGGATTAAACATCTTACAATTTTACCCTTTCCAATTTCACAGTTTTACACTACAGTAGTTTAAAATTTTACTACTTTACAAGTTACAATTGTTTACAATTAAATAGCAATTCAATTGCAGTTAAATCTTTTCAAACAATAATTAAACACATCAACATCGTAAATTAAAATAGCCATCGCCATGCAATAGTATAAAAGTCTGCCAGTTGCAATATTTACAGCAACCCCAAGACTTGAAACGGTACTGTTTGTACTTCTGGAGCTTATGCCATTGAAGATCACTGTGAGGATGGCAAAAATTGCACATAACATGATTATTGTTGCTGATCTCAAGCATATGTCTAGTAAAATCTTTGTAACAATTGTTCGCTTTGTGTGTTGAGCTTTGGTTGTTTGATCATCAGTCCTAACAGTCAGTTCTGCATCAGTCGATTCAGCTTTATTTGCAGCCTTAAGACAGGGACAGGACTTACTCCTTCCAGAATTGGCCTGTAATGTAAGCAGCGACTTTCTAATTTTTGGAAATGTTTCAGAACGTTGAAGTTGGTAGGATTTAGACTTTTTACCTGCAGTTGTCATCAAAATCAGATTTGACTTCTTAATCTGTTTCTTATACTCTCTCAAAACTGAAATAACAGTTTTCACTATTTCCAGTACAATTGCAATGACCAACAGAATACCATTTGTAGGTAAAAGACACCCTACTTTCTCATGTGTCTCTGCTGTCAGATTGCCTACAGATGTCTTATTCAAGCTTACTATTGACTTTACTATTCCCAATTCTTCTCTGACGTGGTTTAGCAGGGCATGACTTTTACTATCTGCAAAATGTGTACATGTAGTATAGTATACATTGTTTAGTATGCTGATACTGACGCTTACGCTACCTACAATAAAGGCAGTTACCCTGGGGGGTAACCTGACATAAAGTTGGGGACATGCAAACAGCAGTAGCCTTCCTCCACACAGTGCTAAGAAACAGCATGCGCATATAGCCGAATATGTGTTCA